TCCAACCGGGACATTCCTAATGCACAAACTTCTAGACATGTGATCCAAAGGACTCCAACTCCTTAAACCATTTGAAAAAGTCTCCTTATTGACTCCCAGCACCTGATTCTCAACCTTTTGGATTGGTACGGCTTCCCTTTACACCTCTATTTCCTCCATACCTCTTGCTTCTTTTTCCATATCAGCTACTTCCTCTAACACTTCAGCATTAGAATTTTTTGAAATCCCTCTAAATTGAGATTGTACTCTATCATTGTATCCTCCAGCAATCATTTTTAAATTGAAGTCAGGCCTAGCAGGAACCAAATTCTGCATATTTGATTCATCCAAAACTGTCTGTTGCAGATTACCTTGTATCTCCACCCGAGATTCTTTCTGTTTACCATAACCCAATTTAATTAAGTTAACAGCTGGCCCAATTGGTGAAAATCTTGTATTTTTTTTAGATGGGCTCACTCAAGTCATCTGAGTGGGCTTTTTCACTACCATAACATAAATTATTCCTTAACCTGAGGCTCAGATAATCCCCTTTTAAATTCAAACCTTCTTCTTGTAATTCTAACACCCTTGTTCCACTAGGTTGACCTCCTACCTGCCACATTAATTGCTGACCCCTACAGCCGCAAACCACAGCAGTACATTCATCCCCTTCCAACCATGTGTCTACTCTACCTCTAGTATCCTCAGCTAATATGTCGAGCCTACCAACCCCTCCTGAACACCGATCTTCTCCCTCCTCAGATGCTGCAACTTCCCTGTACACTCCACCATCGTCCACCGTTGAATTCGCTGATGAGAAATCATTCTGTTTCATACTAACCGAGCCAAAATTAATTTTAACTTTATAAGATCTCCCATACGATCCCAGTGATTGTTTCCGGTATATCAAACGGACTAGCCACCCTCAACAGTGCCCTTACAGACGTCATATCCTCTCTTCTAACCATCGATTCATGAATGCAAATTAGCTTCCCCCACCTTGTAACAAGTTTTTCCAGAAACGGGACATTCCAACATAAGGGAACTCCAACTAGTTCAACCGAGCAAAAAGTCATCGGTAAGCCTTCCTCATTCAAAAGCGTATCAAGCCATTCAAACCAAAATGACAATTCCTCCAATCTGCTCGACCACGCCTCCTTTAATTTTTCCACTGAAGCAAAGGTTAAAATGTATGAATGCCATGCATAACCCCATTTAGCTAACTTGACTTTGATCCCATCGCTAGCCAACCCCTTCAGCACTATTTCCAAGTCGAAGTGGGCTTTAATAATCCCTGTCAATGATCTTTTCACCCAATCCGATTCGTCCGAAGGAATATGCATCTCCCACAAGTTCCTCAATCCTGATTCCTTTCTAGGAAACCCCTCCCTATTCTCTTTGCTCACCGGAACTTCCCTCAGCCCAACATTGGAAGCTAACACATCCTTATATGATCTTTCATCCCTCAATCGATTGAAGGACTCAATACCAACTCTTCTTCTCCAGTTGCCTCCCTTATACGTATCTTCTTCCCTTTTTGAATTTCTACTGGCAACTTGCCCAGACCTCTGCTTCTGATACTTAGCTACCCCGACACATACTTTCTTTCCATCAATCCAAATACCATTCACATTTGCCACCGCCTTCTTCAATCCTTCCTCCGTCGCAAACTGAACGAAAGCAAAAGTATGGTTTCTATAATTCGGTTTACTATAACTACTCGGAATGTAAACTCGCAATACACGACCCTGTTGTTGAAAAATTTCCTTAACTGTTCTCTAAGAGTCTCTTACTCAGATTGTCCACAAACACCGTCCAATCCTCGCCGGAGGACTGAAAACCTAAGATACTTTCTCTCTCCCGCTCTCTCTCTAACACTCTCTCTCATGGTTTTTTCGACTTATATTAGGTTCTAAACTTACTGATCCTTGGCTTAAATACTATGCATATACAATCAGACTCACAGTCACCTGCAATTCCCTCCAATATCATGCTGCCATCTAGGTTCTAAAATCACTAAATAAATACTTATATCTCTTCGATTATAAATTAAGGCTATGAAGAGGGATTTCAAAACCTTTACATGTAGTAAGAATACTGCAAGAGTCTACATAATACTTCAACATATTCTCAGCGAGATGTCACAAACTATGAGCTACCAATTAGCCGACAACCTTTTTTACCTTTGTTGAGGCAAGGAACTTGCTATGTTAAGAGTTATTCAACCAACTCTAATCTAATGCAAGCAAGACCAAAATTCCTTGTAGCCCTGGATGATATTGGAAAAACTATCCATTTACCATGGAAGTAATTTAGCTACTAAACCTATTGAATAAAATGACAAAAAACTAAAAGGGTTATATCCACTGAACCTAATTAACAACGACAACCATCAAGTCACCAAGGTGGCATGACATGCTTTACATAAAACCCATATCAAGTGAGTTCCGCTTTCAAGCCCAAGCATTAAACTACTGAAGCATCACATTTCACAAACTTGGATTATAATGTTGCTAATCTTGAAGAAAGGGATACACTTTCAAAAAAGGATACACTTGCAAAAAAGGATAGCAGTAATAACTGGGAATAAGTGCTCCCAACTAGGATTGTAAATGAGACGAGACAGATCGCAAGCTACTCGAGATCGACTCGGTCGAAGCTCGGTCAACTCTTGAATCAAATAGACTCGACTCGAGCTCAAACTCGACTCAAATTCTTAACAAGTCGAAACAAGCTACTTGATACTTGACTCGAAAAGCTCACAAGCAACTCGAAAAAATTTTAGTTTTAAAAGACGCAAGTCGCACAGAGGCGCAAAACGTCTTTGGAACCTAGGCTCGCGCCTTTTGTAGGCGAAACTCACTTTTTATACTGAAAACCATATAAATCAATTCTGGAATATATCAAGACTTATTACTCACCGGTTCACTACTGAAACACTTAATCTCCTTTCCACAATAAATCCTTCACCATCACTTGTCCTCCTCGACCCGTTTGTATCATTCACAAAACTCTAATTTACAAAACATTGCACCACATAATTAGGGTTACTCTATGATAAACCAACGTCATCTTCTAAACTTAAAATCATTGCATAAATACTTTAAAATCACCAAATATGATTTTAAATTAATACTTGTATCTAATATATATAGAATGTGTATGCTTATGAAAGCTTGAAGGCTATGGAATCAAGATTCAGTATTTGCTTAAACTAAAATGATTTCACTTTGTGTATAAATAGAACAACTCCTAAAATTATCTCTTAACTTATATAATAATTAAAGGGTAAATTTAGAGAGGGAAAAAAGTTTAACTTGTACAGTAATTAATTATTAAAGGGTAAATTATAGAAAAAAAAAGTTTATTTAATTCCTATTTAAAAGATTAAATATTATTTAAAATAAAGATGATTTTAATTTTAAACAAAAATATTATTTGATAAATTACTTAAATAAAATAAAATATTATTTAAAACAAAGAAGATTTTAATCAACATAGCAGGTTTGGACAAGCCTATCCTCCACCTCGCCTGCTACAGAAACAATACTAAAAGGAAAGAAGCTTACCAATATAGCAAGCTTGGACCTCTCTCCACCTCTCCTGCTCGCAACACTAAATCTACTATCTAATTCCCTCTAAAGTAGAGAAGTGGTGCTAGAAAGAAAGAAGCTAACTCACATAGCAGGTTTGACCAACCATGTCTCTCCACCTCACTTCCTACTACATTCCCCTTGCTTTTTAATTCCCCTGTTATTTAATTCCCCTAAAGCGGTGGAAACAGTGAGCCCAGCGCATCTTCAAAAAGCGCTCGCTTTTGAGCACCTGTGAGAGCCTTTCGTAGGTCACTGCGATTATATCTTTAGAGGCATTTAGTTCATCCCTGAACTTCAATTGAGTACTTTAAGCGCACTTTTTAAAACTAAGGGAAAATAATGTTTTAGATTTTTAGATTTTTTAAATTAAATTATTATTAATATTAACATTTATATGTTGTTCTTTATTTAAAAAATACAATATAAGACTTTCGTGTACTTAAGGTTTAGGTTCGAGTTCAAGTTTGAGCTTTAATTGAGTTAAGTCTAAGAATATTTCAAGTTCAACCTTTTTCAAGCTCGAGTAGAGCTTCAATTTTTTGATTTGGAGTCGAACTAGAAAATTTCATGCTCGAGAGGTTTCGAGTCAACTCGAGTTTCAAGTTTTTATTTCGAGTTCGAGTCAAGCTTAGTTTTATATTTTTCAAGTCGAGCTTAGCTCAGCACTACTCGAACTCGACTCGGCTCGTTTACAGCCCTACTCCCAACCATACTATTTTCTAATTTAATCTGTCATAAGAATATCTAAAAACTAGTCAAGGGATAAGATGTTACCAAATCATATTAAAAACCAGAAACTCGCTAAAAGCATAATTTGACACACACAACGGGTCAGTGGCTTAATAAGATAAACCCATCAGAAAGTAGCAAGGCCAAACCATTGACCAAAAACAGCAACCTGAGACATTTTATCATGTGGTCATGGGATCGAGTCCCACGGTGAGCAATTCATAATTCTGATTGATGGAGGTCTTCCACGGAAGCTGCTCTCAACCTGGCGTTGAGGCTAGCCTACTACTTTACCTCCCCATCACCCCATTACATATGGGAATAGGGTCGGCTAATAAAGTAGCATTATATATATACACACAGAGAGAGAGTAGGGTCATGCAGTTGAATGGATCAAATTCCTCGTCTTTTTTGTATTTCATAAACAATTCAAACTAAAATACTATGTGCTTAATTTTTTTTTTAATTAATTCTCTGTCCAAACAATTTGGGACTTCAACATAAAGGACAGGAGAGGGCATCTTCCATTTTGTGGCCCGAGGATCCATTTGTCTCCATATGCAGATGTGGATATGTATCTAAACAAAAAATTTTAAGTGAAAAGCAGATGTTACATGCTAAAACTTTGGGTACTTAAACATAGATGCGGATTTCAATCCATTAGAGCACAATGCATAAGCCAGATCCACAACTGACCTGGGATAGCAATGCAGCATCTATTCCAATATCAAAGAACTGCAACAATATGGTAATGGACATTGTAACAGGGTCAACTGAACCTGCCTGCCAAAGAAACAGGTTTTACAATACATTACAATGATCTTAAGAAAAAAAGGGGGGCGAGAGATAACAATAGAAGAGATCACTGAAAGATACAATACCTCCTTGAAAACAACACTTTGTAAAGACTGCACCCAGAAATAAAAAAAGATAGAAAAAAGACTGATCAATCAGGCAATTTTTTCATGCATCAAATCATAAGTCAGAGAAGAAAAATATTAGAAGAAGGAAATTGTAAAATCACCAATTTTACAATTTCAGAATCAACCACTAAACTCTTCATGATTTAACAAGCCTAAAAACAGCATCGTATAAAAAATATCAACTGAAAAACAAAAGTTGTGGATCCAATCATTACAAGAGAGTTGTTTAATCAGTCTCAATGACACAACCATGCAGCAAGTCCATAGTGGTATTCTGAATGTTTAGACACCATGAAACAGATACGGACTCGTGTGCTTTTTCCTATTTTCAAAGCAAGAGTTGCAAATGTTTTGAATGACTTGGACGCTTGGGCCCAAACATACTTTTATTGGCATCAAAGGCCTTGTCACATCTTGTAATTATCAACATCACCAGTGCTTAATTTCCATTTGTTAAACCAGTGAAGAAAGCCTTTGTCAAGAAAGCAGCTGCATTAGCGAAAGAGAATGCAAAAAAGGGGGGAAGCTAATTTTCCCCAGGTACGTGACGGTTTTTTTGTAAAAATTTGGGATGGCGAAGCTGTCGATTGTTTCGTGGAGTATAAGGGGTTTGGGAAAAAAGTAAAAATCCAGAGCGGTGAGGGGAATGATTGAGGGGAGAAAGATTTCTTTTCAGTTTCTTCAAGAGTCGAAGACTAAGTCTGTTAAGTCTTCATTGTTGAGGAAGATTGGGGGTAGGGTCTTGAGAGGGGGGTCTGTTGTATCTCCATCAGAGGGTTCAGTAGGGGATTTGATCACAATGTGGGATGATAATGAGTTTAGTTTCATTCGGAATTCATTCACAGAAGGTTTATAGCAATAAAAGTGATCTCCTGTCCTACATTGAGCAAATTGATTTCCCTCTTTGTGTTGGAGGAGATTTTAATGCGATATTGTCGCAGGAAGAAAAATTAAAATTTGCTTTCCATGCGAACCTTCTGTAATTTTGTTTGTCAAGCTGGTTTGGCTTATCTTCCATTAGCAGGTGGTCAATTTACATGGTGTAATAACATGGAATCAGCGTCCTTTGTCAGATTGGATCGTTTTTTGATAGACCATAGATTTTTATCACAGTTCCCAAAAATAAGCCAAAGTCTGTTTCCGAGGTCGTTATCTGACCACAATGCTATATTAATGGAAAATTGTGAGGTGAATTGGGGGCCCAAACCATTCAGGTTGTTCAACTATGTGATGGAGGAGGATGGTTTCAAGGAAATGATGGAGTTGGAATTGAAAAAGCTACAGGAGGGCAGTGGGAGCAAAGGTATTTGCGAAGTTTTAAATGGGGCTAAGTCAGCCATAAAAAAGTGGTCAAAAAATGGGGTTAAATACGGGGATGACTTTTGCTAGGGGTGAAAGGACAACCAAGATCGGATATAGCTGGTTTTCCGAAAATCTATTTCAGTAGAGCGTATGATGTCGATGGCCCGAGGTAGAGCACTCAATGGGCTAGGGTGGCCCCATTTCGCCTTAACAACACCAGGGAAACTCCGAATACAGGCCTAGATCGTTTGTACAGACATACTTTTGGGGTGCTAAGATCCAAAGTCGAGGGAAACAGCCCGGATCGTACGCTAAGGTCCCTAAGCAATCACTTAGTGGAAAAGGAAGTAATCGAGCGATGATAACCAGGAGGTGGGCTTGGAAGCAACCATCCTTTGAAGAAAGCGTATTAGCTCACTGGTCTAGCTCCATGACACCGAAAATGTATCAGGGCTCAAGTGATTCACCGAAGCGACGAGACCTTGAAAACTACTTTTTCAAGTGTCAGTAGCAGGACGTTCTGTCAATCGGGGAACCGGGAGAAAGCTATTCACGATATGGAACTGGCAATTCCGCAAGGGTCGTCTGCAGTTTCGATGGAATCAGTGGCGAAAGCGAAATTGGAATTGTGGGAGTTGTACAAGAAGGACGAACAGATTTGGTTCCAAAAGTCGAGAGTGAAGTGGCAGCTAGAAGAGGATAGGAACTCCCATTTTTTCACCAGTGTGCTTCAAATAGAGGGAGGGTGAACGGTATTAAATCTTTGAAAGTGTAAGGAAGGATGGTTTCTGGTCCGGGAGAAATTAAAAAATGTGTGGTGGATTTCTTTAGAAACACTTATAATCAGAATGCGACTCTGGAAGTTGAAGATATGGATCTGGACTTTTTAAAGTTGTCGTGTGATCAGAGTTCATTTTTGGAGAAACCTTTCTTGGAGAAGGATATATAGGATGCAATCGCATCCTCGGATAGCAACAAAGCACCCGAGCCTGATGGTTTGAATATGGGTTTCTTCAAAAGGTTTTGGCCAAATTTGAAAACTGAAATCACGAGCTTTTTCGCAGATTTTTTTAGGGGGAAGGAGTGGAAAAAGGAGGTGAATAAATCATTTATAAACATTATCCCAAAGAAGGTTAATCCAGAATGTCTAGAGGATTATCGGCTGATCAGTCTTGTCGGGGGGGTGTATATAATACTCTTGAAAGTATTATCGAGAAGGTTAAGAGCTTGTATGGATGCAATTGTTGGACCTTCTCAATTCGCTTTTATTCCAGGGAGGCAGATTATGGACTGCTCCTTTATTGCAAATGAGGGCATCAACTTTTGGTAGAAGAAAGGGCTGAAGGGGGTCGTTTTTAAGGTGGATTTTAAAAGAGCGTATGATTCGGTTGATTGGTGGATTCTATTAAAAATTATGAATCGGATGGGCTTCGGAAATAGATGGTGTTCATGGATTGAAAAGTGTCTGTTATCAACAATCATAGCAGTTCTAGTAAACGGATCTCCTACGGAAGAATTTCATATTTCAAAAGGGCTTCGCCAAGGGTGTTCTCTTTCCCCATTGCTCTTTAACATAGAGGGAGAGCTATTGAATTTGCTATTATCAAAGACTGTAAATGTTGGTTTATTCAGAGGGTTAGTGATTGGTAGACAAGAACATTCCATCATGCTTACTCACATGCAATTTGCCGACGACCTGATTATTTTTTGCAATGCTTCAATTAGGGAATTGATGAATATTAGGAGGGTTCTAACTGTTTTTGAAATGATGTCTGGGCTACAATAGAATTTGTCGAAATGTAAGATCTACGGAATTAATTTAGAGGTTGTTACAATTAACGAAATGGCTAATATTATTGGTTGTTCGGTGAGGTCGTTCCCGTCAGAATATTTGCGGCTTCCTTTAGGGGCTAAGAGGAATTCGGCGTTGTTTTGGGAACATGTCATACAGAGGTTTTAGAAGAAGTTGGCTGGTTGGAAGGCGATAGCATTGTCTTTAGCTGGAATAGTAGTGATGATCAAGTCAGTTTTTTGTTCTCTGCCCATTTACTTTATGTAAATTTTCAAAATCCCTTCTCGTGTGCTGAATAAATTGAATGCTATTATGGTTGGCTTTCTATGGGGGGGTCAAAGGAGAGAAGAAACATCCACTGGGTAAAATGGTCCTCCGTATGTAGACCGAAGGAGGTGGGTGGTTTAGGGATAGCTACCTTGGACCTCATGAATAGAGCACTTGGGGAAATGGATGTGGAAGTTTGTTAGTGAGAAAGAGCCGTTGTGGAAGAAAATAATTTGTTGCGTTAACAATCTCGACCCAAAATCTTTTGCGATTGGAAACTTAATTTCCTCAAGAGCTTAATGGATATGGAAGGGGATAGTCGAGAATTGCTCTTAGAGTGACAATTTTGGAGCTTGTTTTAAAGGGAACGGGTGTCTCAAAGTCGGTAATGGTGAATCGATCTCGTTTTGGCATGATGCCTGGTTAGATGGAATGCCTTTGAAGTTTTGCTTTCCAAGATTGTTCATACTTTCGACTAACAAAGAGGGAAAGATTGATGATTTTATGATTAGGAGTTCATCAGGATGGTCCTGGGATATTCAGATCAGAAGGAACCTTGCAGAGTGGGAAATGGAGCAATGGCTTGAACTTTCCTCTATGTTGTGTAATTTTCGGGCCCCACATCTGCTTGATGACACCTATGTTTGGACTGGAAGGGGAGATGGATGTTTCTCGGTGAAGTCTTGCCTTCAACTCATGGAAGATAGGACGGATGTTAATTTTTTCTAGTCAAGGTTCGTGTGGCTTGGTGTCGCCCCACCACGGGTGGAATCTTTCGTTTGGCAAGTGGTTCACAATAAATTAGCTGTTAAAGCAAAGTTAGTTAAGCGGGGGGTGACAGGGATAAAGGATTTGTCATGTCCGTTGTGTGGTCTCTCTCTAGAATATGTTTTCCATTTATTTGTGTCCTGTAAGGTGTCGTGGGGTTTATGGACGAGTTGTTTGAGGTTATGGAATATTTCCTTTGATGTCACATAAAGTCCTGAAGCGTTAATTTCGGCCTGGTTTGGGCTGGTTCCGAAATCGATCATATGGACTTTCATTCCTGGGTAATTTTGTGGTCAATTTGGAAGCAGAGGAATGAGATTGTTTTTAATAAAGGGAAGTTAGATCAAGTTCTATTTTTTCTGGTTAGATACAGGGTGGCAGCATGGTGTTCTTTTAAATATCCAAGTTTGTTGATCCCTTTTGATAGTCTGGTGGGTGATCTCCCGTTAGCATATGCAAGCTTGTGTTGAGATTCAAGGTTTTAATGGAGATTTATAGAAAATGTATGTTGTATTTTCCAATGTACCAGCCACTGTTATATACACATTTGTACTACTGAGTTGGCTGCAACAGTACAACAGTTTTAACAACCTTAACCAAATTCTAACAGCATCCTAACAGCTTGCTAACAGCCACTAACCAACTCACGCATACATTCATACATTCATACCAACTCACGCATACATTCATACATTCATACTCTCATGCATAGCTAATATTCTAATATTCTCCCTGCTCCTTCGACTCCTTTCTATATTAACAAGGCAATACACGCAGCTAATCTCTGAACACTTCAAACACTCCCTTTGTAAGCGACTTGGTGAGCCCGTCTGCCACCTGATGACACGCTGGAACT